TGAGGTCTGAGATATCTCAGTAAGGCTGGCTCTCCAGCGTCAGATGATACGGCAGTCTGGTAGAAAGGCCTTTCTTTTATGATGCAATGTCGAGTTCCTAATGTCCTATGTCCACTTTAGCACATAGCAAGGCGGACTCACTGGAAGTGCTTTAGTCAACAAAGTGACACTCAGGGAAGACAAAGTTCCCATTGACAACTGTCTCAATGAACATCTCTTAGCTGGCTTTTTGCTATGACTGCGTTGTAACTTGTCTCTGGGGATGTACATGCATGCTTTTCCGTGTGCAAATGTGAAAAGAATCTCACCTTATCCTTGCATGTCATGAATGTATGCAACATTTATGACTTCTATCCTGCACTTTTTGCTCTGTAGACTTTATTATGTATGTAAATGTGTGTGAAAATATGTGTGAGTGCACATTTCACTGACGTATATCTCTCCCCTGAGAGGAAGGACCATGTTTATTTATTTATCATCGTATCATCTGCCCCAAATATAGTACTAGGCCTGTAAACAGGTCCTAACAATTATTTGAGCATTAAATAAAGACAAGAAGAAATAACTGGATGACCAAGAGCCTCGCTTCTGGATTGAACCCCATCATTTAATTAACCATGTGACCTTAGTTAAATCTTATACTCAATTTTGGAACTAAAAAGGACCTTAGAAATGAGCTTGTTAGATGATTGTGAATCTTTAAAGCAGTAGAATACAAAATAAAGCACATATGAAAACTCAACTCGGAGCAGAGGCAAACCTTTTTTCACAAGAGAAGTGGAGTGCTGGGAGTCCTGCCTGATCAGCCCTTTTGCCCCTCTCCTCAGACTGCAGTGGTTTCTATGGTTACTTTAATCAATCCTCAGTAATACAAATAGCATAGGTTGAAAACTCCAGATCTAAATCAAATGGATCATCTGGTAAAAGAAGAAAGTGGTATTTAGGAAGGGTGGGGGCGGATTGGCCTAGTAACAAGACCAGTGCATGGAGAAGTAGAATTAGTATTCAGATGTAGATTCCTAATCTCTCTAGCAACTTTTCACCTCTCAACATTTCCAAAACTACCTTAAAAATATTTGGAAAAGTGGTTGCAATGGAGAATGTTTGGGGTAACACTTTCAAAGCATGAAAACATTCTATATTTTGAAGCCTTATATGGGTATCGGGTGCAGTATGCAGAACCGTGTTTAAAGGAAGACTTTGAAGTTTGACATGCCAGGATTTGAGCCCTAGCTCCACTCCTTACTGAATGGATGACCTCAGCAACACATTCAACCTCTAGTGGCCCTGGTTCTCCATCTATAAATTGGCAAGGCACAGTCCAACTTACAGAGGGTGCAATGAGGACTAAATGTCCTCCCTGGCACAATATAAATGCTCAATAAAGGGACACTACTCTCAGCCTTCGGAATATGTGGCTCCGTTTAAGGGCTATTTAAATCTGTCTATCCAACACAAATAGCATACACATGTCGATTGTCTAAAATGGGCTACTACGGCTCCCCTCCAAAACCACATTATAGCCAACACCATAATATGTCATGAATATCCTCCTCAGGTCAACTGACATGCCCTGCCTAGCATAGGGTCAAGTGTAACACATTTGCTAAAAAACATTAACAGACAAGAAATAGATGCCTATAATCCCAGAGTCTTCAATAGCATACACATGTCGATTGTCTAAAATGGGCTACTACGGCTCCCCTCCAAAACCACATTATAGCCAACACCATAATATGTCATGAATATCCTCCTCAGGTCAACTGACATGCCCTGCCTAGCATAGGGTCAAGTGTAACACATTTGCTAAAAAACATTAACAGACAAGAAATAGATGCCTATAATCCCAGAGTCTTCACTGATGAGATAACCACGTTATAGCCAACACCATAATATGTCATGAATATCTTCTTCAGGTCAACTGACACTCCCCTCCCTAGCATAGGGTCAAGCATAACACATTTGCTAAAAAACATTAACAGACAAGAAATAGATGCCTATAATCCCAGAGTCTTCACTGATGAGATTTACAGATGCAGAATCATATTTTGTTTTAAGCCAGTCCCCTACTTGTCTTGGTTCAAGTAACTCATCCAATCAACTTTAAAATGAGATACAAATTCTAATCATCCTGATCTCAAAGTGTCCTTGAGAGGCCCAAGGGCATAGAAAGTCAGATATAAACACAAGAGGTTGTTATTATTTGAAAGACAAAACAGAGTAGTTATCTAGATTTCTACAACTTCTTCTCTTCACCAAACCCAGTATCTCAAAGCTACACTCTCTCTACATCAAGAATTTTAGGTAGTGGCAGACATTTACAAGGAATCAATGAGCACTATTAGTTGGCTTATGCATAATCACAAACAGCAAAAGCTGCAGTCTGCCAAAAAATATTTTAAGCAACCAAAATTGAAATTAAGTAGAAAATTATTATTTTTAGGTGATTTGGAGATAGTTCTCTCAAGGAGTAACCCTTGGAAATAATCATTTGAAATTCTGGTATTCTGCCTTCATTTTTTTCAAGAGAAGAAATACCCCCATATTTTTCATTCCTTAACTTTTTCCTTCTTTTACCCACCTTATATTCATTTATTTGCATTTTTACATTTCATAATCCCCAAAGAAAGCTCTGTATATTTTTTACCCCACAGAAATTCATCCATAAACTCTTTCATAGACAAAACCATCGTAAGCCCTCATTCACCAATAAGGCATCTTTCAAAGTAGGATTTTAATATTCAGTATAGAAATGCTGGTAAGAGATTTCTCAAATCATCTCCCATGCACAACACTAAAAATGTGAGAATAAGACATGCCTACTTTCAGATCAACTAATTCAAGCTTTCTTAGCTGAAGGCCAGAGTTCCTTCTTGCACCATATTTTCTCTCTCTTTTTCTAATTGGCACAGAAATGGTAGGGCTTGCCCTTTCTTTCTTGACATTAAGACAAAAGCTCTAGAGAGATTTTTGCATTCTGCAATCCAAGCCCACAATATTTATTGTGTACTTATGATAACAATGCCAGAACAGAAAAAAAAAAACACCCTGAGAATCCAGCAATGAATAAAAACTGTGTACATGTATTTGTGTGTGAGTATGTGTTTGTATTTTCCTCAAAGAATTTTATGTGACATAAGAAAGAAATACAGTAATATACTATGTTTTCAAATGGTTTGTAATTAAAGAGGAATACATATATAAAGATGTGACTATGACAAGGAGACTATGATTACATGAAATGTGGAAAGAGAGTTTCAAATAATATAGGACTTTGGGCTTATGGGGCTAAGAAAATAATGCCCTCCAAAGTATGGCACTTTTTCATGCTGAATTATGTGAATTAAATTTCTCTCTGACCTCCACTCCTCCCCTCCTGCTTCTGCTTCTTCTTTCTCACTCAAAGCACAAGGGAAATAAATCGGACACACAAGCTTAAATATCACAGTTTGTTTTTCTTATATGAGAAACGCAAAGTATAAATAAATTAAAGAGCAAAACAAAACATAGATAATAGGAAACAGGCAGATAGATCTTTTTCAAATGGGAAGGAGACCAAGAGATGCAGGGAGGGAGAATGGAGGGCAGGGGAAGAAGACATAAAAAGAATTATAATGTTTTAGGTACATGTACAGCTCCCACAATTAATGCAATCATTAGTGCGAACATGTACTAATAAAGAAAAAGTTAAAGCACAAGGTCGGACTTTTAACGAAGCTCTTTTAATGTACCTCCACACACACCCTCCAAAAAGAAACTCAAATGACACAGCACCCAAGAATCTCATCAACCAAGGAAGATTAGGACAGAAGGCACTAGCCCAGACAGATTTATCACAATTGATCACCTAATGTTTTGGTTTGTTTTGGTAACGGGGATTGAACTCGGGTCCTTGTGCTTGCGAGGCAGGCCACGGAACTGCTGAGCTAAATCCCCGGCCCGATCACCTAATGTTTTAATGGGTTTCTCTGAGAGACAATTTTTATCACCAGCAATCCTTCAATGATATATCAATACAAAAGTATTTCTCCATGAATTTCCTCCTCTCACATTTCATAATTTGTGTAGCCACCACCCCTTAGAAGACCCAAACTCCAATTCCTCTCTGTATCTGAGAATGCTTTCAATCCTCTGCCCTTTTATTATGTCTCATACTTTGTAGGGTTCTGTTGTGTGTGCACATAACTAAAATGCTTTTCTTCTGTTAGTGTGTTTATTTTCTATTGTCAGTGTACTACTGGACACATCTATTGCACCTTCAGAAAGTCAGAAAAATTTTCCCCTAATTAAGTCCTTTTTGGTTAAGTAGAATTATAACAAGCCAAGAATCAGTCCAGACCTGCTAAAAAAAACTGATTGTTGGGCCTGGGATTTAGCTCAGTCGTTCTGCCACCTGCCTCAAAAGCTCAAGGTCCTGAGTTCAATCCCCAGTACCCCCCCCAAAAAAAACCAGATTGTTCATTAAGTTTCTCTATTCTTTACAAATGCGTGAATGTAAGATACTAATAAGAAGAAATTGGGCTCATTCGTAACATTTGCAAAGCAATGCAACCCATACTTGATGTGGCTGAAGAGAATTATCAGGACTATGGATACAGATAAATTAGATTTAGAATCTTAGTCCTATTAGTTACTGAATACATAACATCTGACACATTATTTAACGTAGCTGAGATTCAGTTATCAAAGTTATAAGGTAAGGAAAAGAACCAAAATCTAAAATCAAAAATTATTAGAAGTTTTAAGACAATGTGTAATACCTGGTAAGCACCACACCTAGTACACAGCTAAGTTCTCCCTAAGTGTTAGCTCTTTCATATTTATCTCACCATCATTAATATTTTATGCAAAGTTTTTAAAAAGAGTAAAAGGTGAAAAGCAGCCTGCTGAAAGGGCACAAACTTCTGATCCACAATTTTACATGGCAAGGGTCATGTCACTGCTGACCCCTCAAAGAATAAGAGGAAGAAAGGCAAGGGCTGTCTTAGCCTAGATCATACCTGTATATTTTATATCTGGTTGTAAATCCTTGACGGTGTCTTTCCACAAAGGATAGGTAGCTCCTGGAGTGGTGGAAAGGCCCCCTGTCTGAAATAAGCCAATCAAATTCCTTGGAGACATGTTGGTCTGTCCCAGCTGGTTCCTGGTGGGAGGGCTGCACTGAGATACGGCCCCATACAAACAGGAAGTAGAGGAGCACAACAAACCTCCAGTTCATGCTTTTCTGCCGGCCTTTTTCCTCTCATTCTTGCTCCATTCTGTGGAGTCCTGTAGAGAAAAGAATCAAAAAGAAAGGAAAAAGAGAGGAAAGAGAGAGGGAGAGAAAGACAATGAAAGAGAAAAATATATTAACACATCTCATAATACTGCTGGATATCAGTAGAATTCTTTAAGGTTTACAAAAGTCAGTAGAGGTTCTGGTCTTAAGTATGAAATCTGTAGGGATCTGGGTCCACATTCTTGTTTTGCTTTGTGTTTACAAAATGCACTAAAGTATGGGAACAGCTCAGTCTTTAGGAGTTCAGTTTTCTCATTTGTCAAACTAAGGATGTGCTGCAGTGCCTGTATCTTGGTGCATGGCACAACATAGATGTTGAAGGCACGTGCTGAAAGACAATGAAATGCATTAACATGGACATAGTATTTCATGAAGCAAATTGGAGATGTGGAGGCATAACTCAAGTGTCTGTCCCACTACCATCCTAACAAACAACCCACCTGATGGAGGCATAATAAACACGAGCTACTCTCTCTTCTCCTCTCACTCAGATGTGTATGCACTGAGCACAAGTTTTGCTACCGTTTGATCAGAATGCACAGTGTCTCACTTCACTGTGGCTACCTGAGCTGGACACCTTCAAGATGTAGCTCCTGGACCTTGCTGGACTCCACTTCCACAGAGTAGAGTGGAAGATCTCCCAAACCCCAAGAAACTTGTGACCAAATGAGACACCAGCAGGTGTCTCTGAGCTACAAGGTCCCCTGCCTTGGAGAAGGGAAATTAAAGGCCCTCAGTATAGGAGACAGCATAGACAGGGATTTCCTGCGGTATGCCCAGAAATCACAAAGCCACGCCAAGCCTTCAGGAAACGAACAAGTTCTCTTTTCCTCACCTCGTCATTGTCTACTTACTAGGTAAACACTGTACTGCTTGTCCTCTCTGCTCTGCTTATTCTAAGAGGCCTTGTGCTTATCCATATTTAAAGAAGTGTTGAATCTGGTTACTTCAATTCTAAACAGCAATTGTTCAAGACAATTTATTTAACATCTCTGAAGTCTGGGTTTCCTCATCTGTAAAATATAGTTAACAATAACACCTACACTCAAAAGTAGCATGAAAATTCAATGGCATGATTTATGTTAAGTACTCCCAAGAATGTCTGGCATGTAGTATGCGCTCACTAAAGGGAATGAAGGACGAGAAGGATAATGATGATATGAATATTGATACTGACAGTGTTTACTTACTTTCTGCTAGGGAGTGTTTATATTTTCATCATTCCCAGGCCTGCCCAACCCCTATTTATCCTTCAGGAATGACTTCAGGTTATGTCCTCAAATGTCATTTCCTTTGCCTTAAAAAGAATGTCATTCCTTCCTCCCAGCTCTACCTACTTGTAAGCTATGAATGTATGTCAGCACTTACTAACTTGTATCACATGTCTTTGTTTCTATATCTGTCTTCTTCATTGGGCTGTGAGCCTTTAACTGTAAAGAACCTTCACGAAGCTCTTTCTCCTCTTGGCTAACCATGAGCCCGGGCAGCCACATCCTCTCTTAAGCTCAGCTCTCTAAGGCTATCACTTAAAAATACGATAAGGACACAGACATTTCGTCAACTGTGAAACCACCCTCACACACACAGCTAAATATGACACCTACTTATCTACTTTTCCAGGGGAAAGAACATGGAAGGAAAGTAAAGCTAAGAAAGGAAAAATGAAAAAAAGGCATGCAGATTTCCTGCCCAGCTCCCATTCCTCTCTGTAGCCCAACTGCAGCGTTTTATCACAAGTTGTTCCAAAAATCTGCTTGTCACTGAGTCCCAGCTGTCAGGGCAAAGGAGGAAGGCGCATGTGCAGAGGGGTGGGCTGGAAAAAGCTATGGCCTGAAGTTTTATTCAGCACCTAAAACAAAGCCATCCATGTTGAGCACAGAACTGTAACAGTTACAGCTGCCAGAACTGTCTGCCAGAGCGCACCAGAGTGGCAAGCAGGGGGTGGAGGCGATTGTTCTGAGATCCCCATGGCGAGCTACAACACACTGAAATCGCAGCACGTCACCCATACGGCCCTGCCACTGAGCTTCTGTTGTGAGTGGGTACAGGTGGCAGCCTGGGAGAAAATGCTTACTGTTATTGAACGGAAGCAGGATGGGGAATATCACAGCTTTCAAAGGTGGGACTGGGAGGGGGTTATACACGCAATAGTTGTGTAAGCATGTGGGTTTGTGTCTATGTGCATCTGTGTGTGTGTGTGCGTGTGTGTGAAGAAGTGAGACCTCAGCCCATGTCCCTAGAATTAGCTGAACTTTGAACTCCCCAACCCAGTGCTTCCCAATACAAGAGCTATTTTGCCCCAAGGGGACAGTTTTGATTGTCCCACAGTTATTGGCATCAGGTAATTACAGGCCAGTAATGCCGCTCAACACCCTACAATACACAAGACAGTCCCCAAAACCAAGCGCACTGGACAAACGCACCAGTGGTATGAAGTTGAGAGGCTCCTCTCTAATCCAATTCCTTTGCACATTTTATGGCCTGAGTGGTAAAGTGGGACCCCTGCCTCCCGTTTCCTGGTGAAGAGTATGTGGCTGTTTTTGAATTTGGTTTCTTTCGGGGGGATCTGCTGCAGAAGTACCTTTCACCAAGTACAGGTGAGCGCTTCATGGGAGAAGTCAGAAAACATCTCTGTTGGCTTAGAAAATCACAATAATCCACGTGGCACAAAAAATAAAAGTGAAAATTTTTAGAAAGTACAGTACATTCTGAAAGCAATAGTCATTTAGGTGGAATAGAAAATAGGCTAGTACACTTATTACCTAAAATGTTGTCAAAGGAGATATGACGACAGGCCCTGTGATTTGCATTCTGTATACAAGACAATATTATCACCAAGTCTGCTAAGGATTTGAAATAATACGAGTCATGTGATTGATACTTATCGAGCATCTGTTGTGTGTGTGGACTTAATGCTGTCCATATCCTAAGTAGAAGGCAAAACATTCAGTCCAGAGGAGACATTAATAAAGGTGTATTCCCCAGGGGGGTACAGATGTTCCACTTAACAGGTGAGTACTGACTACCTGTCCCAAACTCGCAGCTCCTAAGTGTTAAGGCAAGATTCAAGCCAGATGTGGCGATTCTCACCGGCAATCCCAGCACTCTGAGTGCTGAGTCAGGAGAAGTGAAAGTTCAAACCCAGCCTGGACAACTTAGTGACTCGATGAGATGCTATCTCAAAGTCTAAAAATAGCTCTGGGGACATAGCTCAGTGCAAAGGCCCTGGATTTAATTATCAGTATCCCCCCCCCCGTACACAAAGAGGATTCTAACCCACGTGTATCTCATTATAAATCCGTACCATTTCTTCCCTATTCCGCCTTCCATCTCTGCCCTCCGGAGACTTCATTGGTAATGCATAAGACACTCTAATAGAGAATACGCTCCATAATACTACAAAGAAGGGATAAAGCTCCGTGGAAGAGTAGAGGTCAAAGAAATGATTCTCAACCAAGAGTTCTTGGAAGAGCTAGTTTTCTTTGGGGGGGAGAAAGCAGTAAATAAATGACCAATCACTCCGTAGTGGTGAGGAGTGCTCTACAGGAAGTCAAAGCAGGTGGGCAGAACATGAGAGTAAGGGTGTGGATTTCTACGCAGGGGTTCAGGAAAAGAATGTTTGAAGAAGGGGGTTCTGAGCAGAGAAGTGCAGGAAGCAAAGGCTGAGATACTCAAGGGTCAGATGTCAGTGGAAGGAAAGGAAACAGAGGAAGAGTGTTGCACAGGTTCAGCCACGTCAGAGGCCGGTTGCATTTAGATCTCCCACAGGAAGTTCCTAGTTTAATTGCAGGGAAAGTCATTTTGAGTGAAGAATTTTGTATTACATGAGAGTTTACTATATGCCAAGCACTAAAGGGTGCTGTTCTAAACCAGTGGCAATGCCATGAGAGCACGACAGCCCCCATTTTATACATGCAGAAAACGGAGGCTGAGGCTCTTAGAGATTAAGGCACAGGCCCAACACCACCAACTAGCCAATAGCAAACTCCAAAAAGGCTGTGTCATCTAACTGCAGGACAAAAGGTCACCTGTGTCTCTCAAGCACTTTAAGTGTGGCTACACCAAGTAAAGAGGGGCTATAAGTCTAAAATACTGGTTCACACCCACAGGACTTCCAAAGCATATCGTGAATACAATGTAAAACAATCTCACTCATGTTTGATGCTGGATACATGCTGAAATATTTAGATTAAGTGAAAGAAATTTCCTTTGCAATATTTTAATGTGTTTATTAGAAACTTCAGAATTACATCTGTGACTGTTGTCCTGTCTCTCTGGGACTCAGGAGTTTGCTGAACACATGTGACACTGCACAAGAAGACCACGCATCTATCTCCAAATCTCTGTCCCAACTCATATATTTACCATTTCCTGATCAAGGCTTCAGCTTCCAAAATCAGTAAACAAGCCATACACAGACTAGAAATAAAATCTTTTCTGCTGCAGGGGCCACAGCTCCTAATCCCCATGACTCCGAGACAACCCTGCTTATCCTGCACCATGCATTTCAGAGCTGTTCTTCTCCCAAAAGATTCATAAAAGGAATTTCCTGCTACCAGGGCTCAGAGCCTGGGAGTGCATGACTGGCTCTATTCCAAGTGCTGCCCTTGACTCTCTGTGATGCCTGGTGAGTCACAGGCCTCTTGCTGGGTGTGCTCTAGCTGCAAACACAGTCTGTGGCATGGAGCACATATGAGAACCGTGGCGGAACCAAGCTATATATAAGACTGCAGTGTCACTAAGGGAACTGGGCTCATCCCACACAGAGCCATCCTCTAATCGCTGCCAGTGTAAATTATTTACATCCCAGGCACATGCTCCGGAGGGAGAGAGGAGAGAGAATGGCTTCCCAGCAGCCCTGCTACCAAGCTCATCATCTGGAGATCTCCACATGGATTACTGGGCCATGGCCCACATTCTGTGCTGGAGGGTAGAAGGAAATGGCTCCTCCCTCCTCCACCCGCAGAATCCCAGAGGAAGTCAGCTGATG